ATGGAGATTGTAGCGACTTTAATAGTAGTATTCATGAGTTGATAAAAGCTAGACCACTATTGAAAACCTGGAAGAACTGGATGCCCGTCTTGTCCTTTTATGGGGCTCCTCAACAATGCGCATCTGCAATCCTGTACGTGGGACTTGAACTTAATAACAAGGTTTGATGTCGACTCAGTGATCTACAGATTAAGCATTACCGCACGAAACAGAAGGTCCTAGGTTCGTTTCTCGTGGATGAGCACTATTGAGGAGTCCCATACTAGGAAGAAACGGCAGTCCAGTGCCTCCAGGTTTTGAATGGTTGTCTAGCTTTCACTGACTCATGAACTCAACTAGTAAATAGTCTTAGTTAATTCTTTTGATTTGATAATTGTCTCCAGACTTAAGAAAAAAACCCAGTGTACACTTAGATAAAACGATTGAGACAAAATATTCTACAATTTTCAAGTACTTTAAATGATAAAAATTCCAATATTGTAAGTCAGAACTATATAGATGTAAGCGAACAATATTGTTTAACATTAGATTCTTATCAAGCTTTACTCTAATATACATGAATATTTAAGATGGTGGTTGGAAGTAGTCAACAGGAAACCCTGGACCCGGGTTCCGTGCTACTTGGCACTATCTTGAGGGAGCTGGTGCTCCCTGACGGGTTCGATTCCGTGTCACCCAGCTTCATAGTCAGAGACGTTACCACTGGGCTATCATGGCCGCGAGAGACCTCCTGTAGGACTGAGATGTAGTCACAATTGATTGGTCATTCGCGATCGAATCTGTCAGAAAGCACCAGTTCCCTCAAGATTAGAGATATACCTTGCTGACGAGTGCCAAGTAGCACGAAACCAGGGTTTCCGGTTGACTACCTCCAACCACCATCTTATTTCAACATAGTGCACGCAATATGGAGTCATCTAGACTAGTGGCCACATTGCAACTTGGTCGATAGCATTCGATCTGCACTAAGAAGGACTTGACACACATGATATTGATCAGCACCCAGTGATCAATCAATTGTGAATACATGAATATTTATAATCGGATATGAAGGTAGGTTTTGAGTTAACGATAACAATGGAATAGATTACATAAATAAACAATAAGTGAAAAGTATAAATTGATTGTGTGACGTCAGGTATTATTATTATTACTATTGTTATTATTATTATTATTATTATTATTATTATTATTATTATTATTATTATTATTATTATTATTATTATTATTATTAATAATAAGACACATAAACAATGGTATAAGGGGGCATCAAATAGATATCCGCCACATAAATCATTCGACTTGTATGAGGGCTGGTATACTGACCGGGTGCCCTCACCGAATCAGGTGGTTTTTATTAGGGGGAAACACCCAGAGACTTTAACCTAAAGGTCTCATACATAAGGCCGTGAAGCAACCTTAAGAGATTCAGTTTCATAGTAGCCGGTAGGTAACCAACGATTGCTTCATACACCACTTGTTCCTTCAGGATCATGGAATCCATGTGCACCGTTTATTTGAAGTGAGTATTTTCCAACTCCCCTAGATGGATCCTCCATATCCACCAACCCGGTTAAAGCGCCAATCATTCTCTTTTCGTCTTCTCAATTTCGTAAACAACACCCCTTGGGCGAGAATGTAGTGAGTAGTACTTTCCTGTTAGTTGTATGTACGTGGCTATGTGAGAGCATTTGTAGGGGTAGAGCTGACTCTCCCCACTCTCGGTCGTACCAGGGCATTTGGGGCTGATGTCAGGTGTACTAGTTGTGATAAGAATAATTCAAGGCTTAAATCAACGTTTCATAATAGAAAGTAGGTCAATCACGTGTAAAAGTAAAGACGCTGATATAACATTAATTAAAATAAGAGGTGATCATATGATTAGACTATGAAGCATATATTTGAAAAAGAACAAACAAAGAGTATAAAAAATAATAATCAATACAATCTGAAAGCACTAGACAACCGTTTTGTCCTAGTATGGTGCTCATCAGTAGCGCCCACTCACGATCGAATTCAACTATTAAAATGACCAAAATCTTCATAAATCCTTATTCTGATAATAAATAAAATCATTGATTAAGGTCAATTTGGCCAAGTAAGAGGTAAGAGTGTTACGAATCTTTCATGAATACAAAAACTTGGGTTGTTAATTCGAATTCTTGTAGCTTCTGCTATGTGTAAGAGACGATATTGAACGCCATAAGGAAAAGTAGAAGGAATATAATAAATCACTTTAAATGACCTATTTTTATCTTCTACATGACCGCTATAGATCAAGTGTGATAGAATAGAGCTGCGTATTGTCTCAACAGTATCTTTTCCTAACAAAGAAGGGAGGGTGTTCACTAACTCGTTGACCCAGTTGTGTGACTGTGCACCCATTATAGCTTTCTCCACAGGAGCAGCTAAATTTGTAGATATAAATGGATGTGGTAAGACTGGGTAACTTACCCTTTAGTTGGAGAATCACCATAGATCGGTTTGAGAACGATAGACAAAGGTTAGTTGTATCGAACATCCTCTTCATTGCTATAGTCACTTTGTCTCGTAGCACATCATCAGCTATATCTCTGATGAATTAGCTTCAGGAAGAGAACTTTCTTACAAACTGATATCCAGGGCCAGTCAGAAGTAGCCTAGTGAAAAGGTCAATCGATGGCAATCAGAAGTCACCTAAAGGTCAAGTAAATTTCACTGAGGGGTCAGTGGGTCAATTTCCTAAGGATTTACTGCATATATACTACATGAGCGTATTTCTTCAGAATACTCTGGCTGAACCATTTTAATCAACATATTATGAATAAGCTTTAGTTTCTTGTTTAGACTGTCGTCTGAGCATATCTTTCTAGCTTTAATTACAAGATATCTAAATCGATTTCGCTTACAATGAATGGATAATAAGTTTGAGAAAAGTATGCACAGGCTTGTTGAAGAACTTTTTCTATAGAAGTCACTATCTATTAATGAGAATCATATTCGTAGGAAAAACTGCCTGAATAAGGTTCGAGCAATCATCATAGCCAATAGTTGAATGAGGTAAGTGACATTGTTCGTAACCAGTGACAATGTGGCCACACTGAATTGGTCTATATCTTTCTCCTCAAGAATCTTTTTATTCTTCTGGAAGTTGATTTTTTTTCTACTACCAAATGTGTTTTTTCTATCACTGATACTATTGATACACCTCCTTGTGTTGATGTGATGTAACAAATTGGACTATTCCATTAAGATGGAGAAGATTTGTAATTCAGGTGGATGATTTTGATAGAGTTTCGTTCTCTAGATGGTTTGGTCGTGGAGCTTTCATCATTCGTCTAAACAACATCATCATCAGCGTAAACTTCTGATAGAATTGAAATGTTCGAATTTCTCTACATATGGTTCACAGCTTGTCTTGTAGACCTCAATGTTGGTTAGTTCTTGGTAAATGTTTGAGGTAATAAGTATCACAAATCCCCCCATACAGTTATGTGCACACCAGTGATTAGCTTTAAGATGTAACACCTGGAGTTCTAGTGAGAAGGCATGATCAGTGGAGTTTAATCCGTGTCGTGTGTGATACAGTTACTTATCAAAGATAATAGAAGATAATTGTGCAATATCATTGGATTGATTGAGTTTAGATATTAAGATCATTGGATGCTGGTTCATTTATCTAGAGATAGTGTTAGCGTAAGAGATCAAAGGTTTTGGATTTGATTAAATATTCGAGTTTTTGGGTGAGTAATACCGAAGAGTCTCATTCTAGGATGAAATGACTGTTCTGTGCTTCCATATTTCCAATGTTGATCTGTTCGTGATTTCAACTTGTACATTCGTTTAAGATTCATTTTAATATGAACAACAATCCTTTATTCAGTAAAGTTCGATGGTAACTAGAAGTGGGACCCAGGAGGTGCATTTCATTCTATTAGGAACTCATCAGTTCGAAATGTCTTCACTTCAGTGTTAATGTTCACTTAGGGACTCGGACCTAGTTCATTGCGAAACACGTTAACCACTTAGCTAGTAATCTCGAATAGCAATTGCCTTTTACATTAAAAAAACACAAAACCATCATATATAATTCACTTGGTTATTGTTTACTTGTATCTTCCCATTGATGTTTAAAACTGCAGTTGATCGTTCTCGTTGCTATATGTATATACTGTGCGCATTGCCTCGATATTGCCTCAATTTACAAGCATTATGAGCAAATATGGATAGTGGCTATTGGTGAAATCCAGGACGTGCGTTTCATCCTATTTGGAACTAGTCAGACGGATGTACCTGCATCTCAGAGCTGATTTTCACTCTGGAACTCAAACTTAGTACCGTTCCATCGCATTATCCGCTTAGCTACTGAATCCTGTTAGCCACCTACTTGTGCAATTGGATGAAGCCTGAATTCATTTGGTATTGTTTACTTGAATCTTCCCATTGATGCTTAGAACTGCAATTCATCAGTCTTTTATTGGCATATGTGCATCCTGTGCGGATTGCCTCGATATTGCTTTAATTCACAAACATTCTAAGCAAAAGACGAAACACCCGTCAAACTGGATTCCACTACTAGCCACTATCCATCTTTGCTTATAATGCTTCTAAATTAAGGCAATATCGATGTAATACTCACAGTATGCACATATGCTAACAAAAGACTGATCAATTACAATCCTAAAATATCAATGGAAAGATTCAAACAAACAATACAAAAATAAATTAAAAATTTACCCCCCCCCCCAATGTATAAACTTTCGACTATCTGGACTCAATAGCTAAGTAGATAACATGGTAGCGTTTAACGTGAATGATAATCGGTTCGAGTCCTGAAATGATCATCATCTGTGGAATACAAGTCTATCCAACTGATGAATCCTGTTGTGGATGCGGAAGAATAGACCAATAATTATCATATTAAGTCCAATGGTGTCCTTGGATTTTAAATGGACATTTCCTACTGGTAGATATCTGTCCACTTGTTGAATATGGTACAAAACGTTGTTTTCTATTTTTATGGTACGATGTGGTATGTTTGGTTAGTATATAAATACAGTATGTCTGAAATACAATGATTCATAACTCAGAGGCTGAGATTTGTGTTCTGGACTCAACTGGCTGGGATAGACAGGGAATTGGGACCAATCGGAACTCTAGGTCGTCCATTACGTTCGTACGTGTTTACGTGTCATTGAATCGGTCGATAAATACGCTGTTCTCTAGTTTTTCAGTCAAGGACATAACAATTAGCACAGGGTATAAATCAACCCACAACTTAAAGTCACAACAAATCCCAACTAGGACGAAACATACATCAAACTGGATTGCACCCTTAGCAATTATCCATCTTCATCATAAACATATAACTCAAACATATTTTCTTCTAACAAATCAATATCTTTTTTAATACTCAATAAATGAAAGGACTATGTACATTCATCTTTAAGAAGAAGACAGTTCAATGGAATTTAGAATAAGAATTATATTCATTGTATTCATTTGATTATCTTTTCGTATTATTCAAATTCAAATGCTGGCCATCGACATATTGGACAATCTAAACACTTGAAGAAAATACATATGAAAATACATATGAAAATACATAAAATACAAATCAATAATTCTGAATATATGGATCATCATTATGATGTAGAATGAATGTAGAAGATCAAATATTCTATTGGTGGAATTATCATTTATAGATGAACTAATCAAGGATAAGATAAAAAGTCTTGGGTTTTAGTGCGAAATGCACTCATCCATAGAGTTTTGGCATTATAGCTGATGTCATTTCGTGATGAAAAACCTGAAATCTAATTCTTAACCATCAACTGTAAATCATAATTCTAATTCCTCACATTGGTTTGTAGTTCTAGCTTGTAGGTGGATACTCTCAAGATCACCTTAACGCCACTCAGAGGTTGTTCATAAATTATAGGTCTCACCGTCAACTAAAGCTAGATCATCATAGAAAATCTGGAAGCACTGAACGGTCACTTCGTCCTAGTATGGGACTCCTCAGCGGTGTGCAATCATGATTCCGCCCCGCGGGATTCGAACACAGGACCTATCAGTCTCAACCACGAATGTTTAACATCTAGACCACTTAGCTAGCATTCAATGGTGTTAATGTGTAACTTCGATCAATCCACTGTCCACCGCCATCTTTCTGATAATAATCACCATATACTTGCCAATGCCTGGCTTCAAGAGGTATTTCCTGGAGTTCTAGTGAGAAGCAGTAACCAGTAGAGTTCATCCAGGTCTGCTGTGAGTTTATAACTCATTGAAGACAATGGTAGACGGTCGCTCATGTGCTTGAAGACACTAACCTCTAGTATGAGCCATGTTGGTAGATGCAGACTTCTTGGTTGGGGTCCGCGTGACTATCGTAACCAATGGTTAGAGACTCTTGGTGACATGGCTCAGAATCGATCACAACGGCATAGTTGTATACACTCCCTGTCTTCCCTTAAACTAAGAGATTAAAATCGCTTCATATCTTTCTTTCTACGAACTAATTCTATATTCCGGTACTGTATCCTTATATGCAATCTTTCTCCTATATATTACCATCTTTAACCTAACCACTCCTATGAATCCGGTGTTCATCTTGTTGTGTTGATGCGGTATGGCAACCTGGACCGATGCATATATGTGCGTGGTCCTACGTTGTTGATGACTGACTGACTGACTGCATGTTACTACATAACCAAGGTAATTCCGGTTTAATTTTTGATCTCTGTTCGGAATATAAGCCTATTTTGAAAGTCCCATCTTCTCTGTCACATATTGACATGTGGATTATTAACGTCGAACTATCAATTTACATCAGATGTCCGATCTTTTAGAGCTCATGATTGTTTTTGTTCAGACTAATTGGTCCTTTATTTGTCTGTAAGTAAAACTTACTGTATACATGATCATCTTTATCAGGATTTAAAAGTTTGAATTATTATATCATTAATAATTAGAACTATTCTAGAAACCTCACTTGGTATTATTTGGCTTGTATCTTCCTATTGAGGTTTAAGACTGCAATTGACCAGTCTGTTATTGACATATGTGCATACTGTGCGTATACCTCAATATTACCTTCCAGCTGACGAGTACCAAATAGGACGAAACGCGCGTCCACTGCTAGACACTATCCATTATTCTAGAAACCCCTGACATTTCATAAACTTACCTGAAAGTCATTTTTTCGCTAAAATCTGTAACACTCTTACTCCGTATATCTATAAGTCAGATTATATGGCCAAATGAAGTGAGTTTTTCTATTCAGTTAAAACAAACTATCCAATCTTTGATGGACTTTTGTTCTACCTTCTACCTCAAATTCTTACTGATGATGTCGTTCAGAAGAACGATGAAAGCTCCACGAATTAATGAAATTTTTCTTATCTTACATTTGAAAACAATAATAGTTATTTTATATTTCACATTACTGACTAACTTTGACTAGACAACCACTAAAAACCTGGCAGTACATAACAGTTGTTCCATTCAAGTGTGAGTTCTCAGTAGTGCCCACTAATGACCCTGATCGAGGACATTCGCTATGAGGCCCTAAGCTCCTGAACTCGGTCTGTGGTGAGATCGTGAATCCGTATTGTTGAGGAGTCTTATGTTAGGTGGGAACACTTGTTCAATGCTTCCTTGTTTTTATTGTTTGTCAAACCAAAAACTGATATTGACATGAAAATGCATGCTTAGCAATCTCCACAACACCACTTAAAACGGTTACTCACCGAACACAATGCAAAACGGTTGGTCAATACCGTGGATTGATAGAAGTTAAACATAAACACCTCTAAATGCCAGTTTAGTGGTCTAAAGATTAAGCGTTTGCACACAAGACTACAAGTTCTAGGTGCGATTGCCTACTTCGAGTTTGTGAATGTGCAATACTGATTAGTCCCATACTCGATGGAAACAATCGTTCAGTGCTTCCAGTTTTTCAATGATTGTCTAACATTGATGTGTTCGTAATTTCAATAAAACACAACAGACTCCACAACCCTACACTTAAAAATATTAATAATGATAATTATATCTAATGTATTAAAAGTTACCTCTAAAATCCAATCTACAAAACAATGATCATGAAATGCATGAAAACATGGAAGTCGTATCACTTCATCTCCAATACAATACTTTTCCATGCATATTACACATTGATCTAATATTTTAACATGGAAAGCGTTTAGTAACACACTGGTTGGTAGAACATCTAAGAGTTCAAGGGAAACGGGTTCTAAAGAATAAAGAAAAGATAGTGACAAAAAAAGAGTTAACAATAGTCAAATCTTTAATGGGATATAAACTCTTTAGTATTAAGGTGGTAGTGGGTGATGGTGTACAAGGAACCCTGGACCTCAATTTCGTAGTACGAAACACTCATCAGTAAGGTGTACCTGTAATCTTGAGGAGATTTCCAGGAGGACTCAGTCCCGTCACTAATTTTCTCAGACCGTCTTACAGAAGGTCAGTCGTGACCAGAATAGATCCGAATAATGATAATATTTCTGACTAACTCAACAAAAATTTGCTAACACATGGTGAAATCGGATACACTACAGGAAAGTTTCTTTTCATTGCCGCGTTTATTCTTCGATTAATTCATTCGGGAATCTTAATACCTCTAGATGAATACAGGAGTTTTACAAAATATCAGTTATTGTTAGGACTCTCCTTGTTATAGTTCACTAGGCCATTCGAAGGTAGATCAATACCCTACTAACATCACCGCTAATCATATCTATAAACCTACCTTTACTTACAATAGTCTCTGTCAGATTTTCTAAACACTTTCCAAGGAATTAATGCTTAAAAAAACAATAAAGTCTTTTCAACTTCAATCGTTAAGCACCTAATAGATCGTGTATATAAGGTCAAAGGCAGTTATACATTCATAATAATTAATAAACACCTAACACCAATTTTACTATGTTCGTAAATATCCCTACTTAAAATCCTGATTACTCTCTCAATAGAAAGAGAGATTTGGAGAATAACAACCAGTTTTATAAATAACGATAAATGGTGGCTAGTAGTTAAATCCAAGACGCATGCTTCGTCCTAACTGGAACTTGTCAGCTGAATGTACCTGCATCCTACAGTTGATGTTCACTCCGAGACTCGAACTTAGTACCGTTTACTTCAAACTCTATTAAGTTATCTACTTGGCTACTGAGTTATAAGTCCATCTTTACTTATAAAGCTTGTGATTTAAAGCAATATCGAGGAACTCCTTACAAGATGCACATATATTAACAAGAGATTGATCAATCGTAAACCTTAACAACAATGGAAAGATACCAAGTGAATCTAATTACTAATTGTTGTCAACATTATTTATTTATTTATTTATTTATTTATTTTAACATATAGATATTGGTACAAGGAGGCACCAATTACATATGCGCCACACAAAGCTCATTTGATTTGTGTAAGGGCTGTGATACTGTCCGGGTGATCAAACTGAAACACGTGGTTTACTTAGGGGGCCATACCCGGAAGCTTCGACCTGAAGGTCTGATCCATAAAGCAGTGGAGCGTCGTAAGCAGATGCAGTACCATGGTAGTCAGCCAGTGACCAACGATTGGTTCATATGCCATTTGTTTCCTCAGAATACTGGAGCCCATGTGCACCATTAGTTTGGAATTAGGGTTTTCCAACTCCCCTAGATGGACTCTCCATGTCCACCAACCCGGTTAAAGCGCCGGACATTCGCATTTCGTCCTCTCATTTTCGTAAACAACACTGTGGCCACAAGTAGGTAGTGAGTAGGACTTCCCTTGAAGAGGATATATAAGCGTGGCCATATGAGAGCATTTGGAGAAGGAGGGTGAACTCTTCCCATTCTCGGCCGTACCAGGGCGTTTGGGGGCGTTGTTAACCTTAACCAATCAGACTTATTATTACTAGTTATGTGTTAATTGAAAAACTATTTTGAAAGATTGTACATTTTCTAAAAAAAATTGTACACTGAGAACATAAAAAGATTCAAAATGTCGAGACTATAATTTACAAACGGACCAATCAGATTTAAGATAACAGGTCTTCGATTTTAGCGCGAAATTCATTCATTCATTTGACTAAATATAATTTTGACATTTTAGCTGATAACACCTCACATCTTATTCTTCGCTTTAATCATCTATTGTAAATCATAATTTGAATTCATCATATTAGATTATAACCCTCATTTTAGTCCTAGTTACTAGGTGGACATTCTCAAGATCATTTAAGCGTCACTCAAAGATCTTTCATAAATTATACATCTCACCAACCAAATCAACAATTTAAACAATAACTAAAATCAATATTTTATAATCCATTTCAATATTGATTTATCAATTTTTAAATGTTTGTTTACATTGAATGTAAACGAATCAATTTTTGGCGCTATTTATGGATGGACTAAGATTTATGCGAATTCATAAAAAAAATTAATAATAAATATCGTTTATTCTATTGTAGGACTCATAAGCAATGCATATCCATGATCTTGACTTGCAAGATTCGAATCTGATGAGTTCCACAATAAGACGAAATAGCCATACAATACATTCAGGTTTTCTATGATGATCTAGTTTCAATTGAATCATGATCTTAACTATTGAAATGACTAGAATATCTACAAAAACCCCCTTCTGACATAATTTATTAAGAAAACTATTGAAAAAGTAAATAAAATGTTAGGTTCATTAAGCTTGAATGCTATGACTGATTCGTCTTACTCGGAACGGAACGAAGAATCAAGGATTCAGAGACTCGATATGCTATTCTGGTTCGTTGTCCCTGACTCAGCTAATTCGATCAAGAAATCTTGATAAGGCGTAGAAAGTGTATTCTACAGACAACCAGAAGATATCAGATCCATCAACCACACAAATCAAGCGTATTTATACAAATATATATAATCCATATTGCCATGGAAGTTTTTAAACATTTAATCGTCAATCGACTATGTGCGTAGGTGGTAAGAAATGCCCAAGCATACATCTGTATACAAGCTCCACAAAGATAAAATTACAAAATATGAGTTTTAGGGATCTATCATGCCCAACATAAAACCAACACATGAAGTACTGGAACATTTGTCACTCTTTTTCTTATTGTTTGTAGTCTAGAATATCCAGGTATATCAGTGAATGTTTTTTATTCCTGACCATTATGATTACCTTCAAGGGTTGATATTTCTAAAATCAGTCAGTTTTTCATATTACATGTTAGATATGAACATCATTGAATACTGACTCAATGGTCTAGACTTTAGGCGCGTATGCGAGAAACAGAGAGTACCAGGTTTGATTGTCAGATACGAGATCTTGAGCGTACACTGTTGTGGAGTCTTATACTAGGAGGAATCGGCTGTTTTGTGATTCCAGGTTTTCAATGGTGGTCGAAGATTGATTGGTTCGTAATCTCAATTATGTATAATGTTGTTTTTAATTTTTTGTAGGTACGCATAGCTGACGAGTTCCAACTAGAACGAAACGTACTTCCTGAATTTCCCTGTTAGCCATCATCCATCTTTGCTTAAAATGCTTATGAGTTAAAGAACTATCAGGACAATCTGCACAGGATGTACATATGCCAATAAGAGATTGATTAATTGCAATCTTAAACATCAATGAGAAGATACAAACAAACAATACAAAATGAATTCACAAAAATTTATAACTAAAGATGGATAGTGGCTAACAATGGAATCCAGGGCGTTCACTTTGTCCTATCTGGGACTCGTCAGCTGGATGTACCTACATCTCAGAGTTGTCATCCACTTCGGGACTCGAACTCAGTACTGTTCGCTTTAAACTTCATCACATTATCGACTTAGCTACTAAGCGAATAGATAATAACAAGTGAAGTTAAACAAACTTAGTTGTCTCTTGTTGTTTACAGTTGGAAACTTTATGATGACTCTGAGTGAAAAAAATCTGATTAAAAATATGTATTATAAACTATTTCAGTATGTGGTAGTAATTAAAAACCTGTTTTGTTCTCATATTAACTATCCTCATGTGATGAAGTCAACATCGATTTAATCAAATAATTGATAGTGTAGTATGTGCTATTGAATTCGATAGATATAAGTAGTATGTATCATCAATCGAAAGTGAAATACCTGGTGGCAGTAGGTTAAGAAGATCGAATAAAATAGAACGGGAACATAGAGTGATTGATATGAAAGCCAAAGAACAATGAAGTCTGATGATTCTTTCAATTCTGTTGTTACTACAATTGTTCTCTTCTTCTCTTCCTATTCTCTTCAATTCAATCTTCTCAACTTTCTGCTGGCACATATACCACATCCGACTACTGCCACATACTACTTATATCTGTCAGAGTAGGTTGTATACACCACAACACCCGATTCAGTGGTCTAGAGATTAGGTATTCGAGAGAAAACATGAATGTTTTGGGTTCAATTACCGGATGAGGGTTCATGGATGCGTACTGTTGATGAGTCCTTTACTAAAATGAAATGAATTTCTAATCCTTTCAGGTTTACAATTGTAGTGTAATCAATATCAACTCGTGATTTGGACTATGGGAGTATACAAAATAGTTATACCATGAATTTACTTTTCATAGAATAATAAAACCTATTTATCAAACTCCTATCTCCCTTTATCATCCAATTCATCAGTTGAGATAAATACAATTAAAGTTCTAAAGTAGTATGACTGTACTATACAGGGATGAGAGTACAGAATACCTAGAGTAGCAGCCAACTTTCTATGTAATAAGAAAGAGCATTACAATACTCTCCATACAGTGTATGTTTAAATAATTGCTTCAATTATGTTACTTTTTTAACCTGAATACATGTAATTCCTTGACGGTGTTGATTTGTGGTCAGCATATTGCTCTATATTATGTATTGAGCGACCAAATAATTAGAAGTTATCTACTTTCTGTATTGTGTTCTCTTTGATTATCGGGTAGTGCGGGGCACTGCCTTCTGGATCAATAGTTACTTGGTGTTATTGTCGGCTGTTACTCACATTTATCGTGTCATTGATTTGCCGCAGGTCACTAGCACTAGATAAACTGTCTATGAGCTGATCAATACTCAAATGAGATCAATACAACTACTCTCCTGTCTTACGGTCTGATCACACGGACCACAAAAATATCAATACATCACTAACATATAATTTATTTGAAGGCTGTACAAATGGGAATCATTTGCCAATCTGGTTTCATGCTATTTAGCATCTAAAAGCAGTATGATATGTTTGCAGTATGGAGGAAGATGATGCAGCTCGTGGGTTTTCACCCGAAATAACCTATTATTACAGTGTGAAACTGTATTACTGACGTAATAATCACAACTGATCTCCTGTAGGAATGAGATGCTGGGTATAAAGAATATCATAGTCGTTTAGTCCTAGGTGCTCATTGAGTCCCGTCAATCAAAATGCAACGTAGTTTGTAGTCCAAGTGGATCTACTCCAGACGCCGAACATCAAAAAAAAATAACGCGCACAATGTTAATTCACCCAGACTAGTAATCACATCATCACTGAAACAATAGAATTCTACTGATGTTGAGAACTAAAGTCACACGACATTGAAAATCAATCAATATAAATGAGGTAATAGTGTGATTAGTGTCATCAATGTATTAAGGTGGAATGACCTTGTTTTGTCTTGATATGCAGTGGAATAGTCTACAATGTCAGTTACTTATAATTAAAGAATAGTCTGACAAAAATATGTGCGAGTTCAAGTTGCCTTACCTTATTAGCACAACAAAATGAATGCCAATGTAATCGAAATAATACAGTAATGAGAACATTAAATATTAAGATGATGGTTCAATAAGACAAAAGGCAATTAGATGGACGAATTGAACTACTGGAAATTAAGATCTTACTTACGCCTGTTACTCCTCGTGGAGGAGCATAGACCGTCAACTTAAGGTCAACAGAATAAAACGTAAATACATTTAGGCTACTGTGACTAATTCCAAGTCATATCATCCAACGTCTCCAATCATATGTCGAGGTAATAAGAAGAATTCTGACAAGGTAACTACAATTAATGTTTATTGTCTAATTCAATGGTATTTCTTTAAACAAACTCGGTGAGGCGCAATAATGAGGTAGTTACTTATAAATGATGATCTCTGTATATTATACGAAGTTATAAATATGGGCCATTGATCTTTGAATCAATGACTGTTAATCACTGCAACTGAATGATACTAGATTGATCTGTTATAGGATTGTAGATCTATACTCATGAAGAGCTTTAAACTAGAAAAAAACACCTTTACAGTGTTACCTGACATTTGTACATCATGAATAACATTGGCTTAATATTTACTAGCAAAAGGGGGTTCTGTATAAGTGAGTTGAATAAAAATGGACCACCATAGGAAGCGTGGAAGCACTGAACGGATGTATGGGACTCCTCAGTAGTGTATATTCATGATCCTGTATGCAGGATTCGAACCTTCGGTCATGCGTGTGAACGTTTAACCTTTAGATCACTAAACTGGTCAGCATACAACAGACCTGGTTGTACTCCATTGTTTACGGCTTCTCAATAGGACTCCAGGAAATTCCTCCTAAAGCAAGTCACTAGTGAGCAGATGATAATTATTATCAGAAGAGGGTTTTCTGGAGATTTTAATAATTTAATAGTTGAATTCATGAATCAATTAAAACTAGATCACCATGGGAAACCTAGGAGAATTAAACGACTGTCTCGTCATATTATGACACTCCTCATCAGTACACATCTACGATCCAACTCACTGGATTCAAACCCAAAATCTATCGGGCCAATCTATTCATTCTAGTTGTGTCATATTTTAACCTTGTTAATTATTCAATTATCTCAATCTTGATTGTTTTTTTGTAGGAGCGAATTATGTGTGTGCCCTTCTTATCCTATTCATCACATATCTGTAGCCTATTTTTGTGTAACTATAAATACTGATTAAAGCTTGACTAAATGGAGTTGGTTTATCCGCCATCTCCACTCTACGTCGTTTCGCTTCGTTTTATTCTATTCGCTTCATATACAAAATATATGGATTCAATAGACCATTCTCGTTATTTGACTTATTTAATTCCGTTATTGACTAAAGCAATTTAAGTTGATGATTACATACAACGATAAGCGAAATATATATATTTCAATATTTCAATAGAAACAGGTGTCTACCTCAGTACAATAGAAGATGGTGACGCAACTTCGTGGAATGGTTGACGTTAGACATTAACACCACTGGATGCCGACTCAGTGGTCCAGTAGATTAAGCGTTCGCGCACAAGGCTGAAGGCCCTGTGTTTGAATCCCGCGAGCAGGGTCTTGGATTCGCACTGCCACTGAGGAGTCCCACAATAGAACGAAATAGCTCCAATAAACCTTAGTATTACGCCTTTTTACACTTTTATACAACACCACAAAAACCGAGTTAAGGTCAATTTCATGACCTGTTTCAATTACGCGTTTGACAATAGAGGATGATGGTTGTTTATCCTCTGCTCTTATTGGGTCATTTGATTGTATTTGTTTCTGTGACCATTTTGGTACATGTTCACACACTGTAATTTTGAGATCACGATTATTCCTCCTTATGTATATGTGACCACAGGGATATATACCTATAGGTCTATTAAGTCATTTAATCTATATTGAAATCTAACTACATCATATACTTTCAACTTATCATTTCATTAATTGTATACATTTGTCAACAAGTAGGTAACATTGATGTAATATTGTAGTAAACATGAATACATAGCAGGGACAACCAATCACTAACTGTTCTTATTCTATTCTCTTTGATTTTCTACTACCATTTTACTATCAAATATTTCATTTTTAATTGATGATACATACTACTTACACTGTCTATCACAACATCAGTAGCACATATCATTCAGATTAACATAGAGTCATCCAGAAACTCTCTTTTTACACTTTATTCTATTTACTAACTTATCATTCTATGATAGAATGACACTAAAATTACATAATCATAAAGAAATAGTAAGGTATATTATTCAGTACTTAAAATAAATCTAAGATACTTATCCCCCAAATGCCCTGGTACGGCCGAGAGTAGGGAGAGTTCATCCTCCTTCTCCAAATGCTGTCATATGAACACGCGTATATAGCCTTTGCCAGGAAAGTCCTACACACAACCTTCTCGTGGCCACAGTGTTGTTTACGAAATTGAAAGGATGAAAAGCGAATGTCCGGCGCTTTAACCGGGTCGGTGGACGTGGAGAGTCCATCTAGGAGAGTTGGAAAACCCTAATTCCAAACTAATGGTGCATACGGGCTCCAGTACCCTGAGGAAAATAAATGGCATATGAACCAATCGTTGGTCACTGGCTGGCTACCATGGGACTGCATCTCTTTACGATGCTCCACTGCCCTGTGGATCAGACCTTCAGATCAAAGGTTGCGGGTGTGGCCCCCCCCCACTAAGAAAACCACCTAGTTCGATTTGGCCCCCACACAAATCAAATGAGATTTGTGTGTCGCATATATATTTGGTGCCTCCTTGTATCAATATTTATGTGTTAAAATAAAAACAAAGATACTTACCCATAATAAATAAGTAATTTATAATGTAAATAACATAATTCTTAGAAACTTAGTTAAACTATCCATATAACAAGTGTTTTCTTTAGTATCTGTGGTATTATTGATTTATTGATATGTATAAATTTATAAAACTATAATGATACACAAATTTAAATAGATAACAAATCTGATTGGTTTATTTTATATTTATTCGATTATTTATAGATATAGATAGATAGATATATACTACTGAAATTATCGAACACATTTTAGTTACTAAGCCCTATATATAGTAACTAAGTCAAAACGATATGTTAAATCTATGGTAGTAACTAAGTCAAATAATTATTATTACTATTTTTTAAAAAAAAAAATTCAAACATAAATACACTGTGATCTGATAGATTGGAATGAAAACCAGATTTTGATTAAAAAAAACAAACAACAATATCGAGACTATAATTGATAGACAAACCAATCAGGTAAAAGATAATGGATCTTGAATTTTGGCGTAAAATTGAATTCATTTTATTTGATTAAATTAAGGTTTATTATTATAATTCATGGTTAATTCATGATGAAAACCATAAATGGAATTTATAATCTTAATCATAATTCTAATTCTTATAAGACTCATTTAGTCCTAGTTACTTGATGAACATTTTTAAGATCAGTTTGTAGTGAATAAGAATACGAGTGGAGCCAATCGATTGTATATGACACGAAATTACAGAACATTTCAGTAAGATCTGAGAACTATAAAGTAAATATCAAAAAGGGGTTTTGTGGAGACATTTTTTTAAGTAAAAATTTCAGTAGTTGAAATCATGAGTCAATCGAAAATAGTCCACCATGGAAAACCAAGAAGCACTGGACGGCCGTTTCGTCCTAGTATGGGACTACTCAGCAGTGCGCATCCACGACCCCGCACCACCCGGGGCTCGAACCCAGGACCTACTGGCTTCGTGCACGAGCACTTAACCATTAGACCACTGAGCCGGCATCCAACGATGTTAATGTCTAACTTCAACCAATCTACGAAGTTGCGCTACCGTACACCATTGTCCTCAGTGAGCTGATACCTCACAACAGACCTGGTTGAACTCCATTGGTAACGGGTTCTCACTAGAACTCCAGGAAATGCCTCTTGAATTCAGTCACTAGTGAGCAGATGATAATTATTATCAGAAGAGGGTTTTTTGGAGATTTTATTATTTTCAATAGTTGAAATCATGGGTCTGATAGGCCCTGGGTTCGAATCTCACGGAGGGCGGGATCGTGGATGCTCACTGCTTAGGATTCTCATGCTAGGACGAAACGGCCGTCCAGTGCTTCTTGGTTTTCCATGGTGGACTAGCTTCAACTGACTCATGATTTCAATCTGTGAAATTTCTAAAATCTCCACAAAACCCATTCTGATCATAAAGTAAATAGTTAATTTTCAAAATGCCAATCAATTGTCTCAAACTTGACTGTTTCTAATGCAAATATCAATCCATCTTTCCAGATTTCATTTTTCCTGCATTTTCATACCAATCGCTTTCCGTTCTCATTCTTTCCTTCTCGACCTCCGATTAAAATACATTCTGTTCCTGACTATTGTTATATACTGCTTATTTGTATATAAGTAGCTCACATCACAATAGAACCTCTTCCATTCTCATATAATGGTTGTTTAAAAAACATCTATAAAATACATTTTTCTATCATTATAATTTGAATGTAAATGATATGGAAATTCGTTAGAATATTACATAATTGACGCTAAAACGACGGCGACCACCACCACCACCCTTCCACTGTAACACAATTTACATTACTGAACAAACTAAATATGATTGTCATGAACATGGTTATTAAAGAGTCACTTAAAACTACACCAGTGATTGAAGGTTGTATGAATGAGTTTCTCTGTCAAAAACACATTATACTTCAAGAATAGATGAACCAATTACGAAGATATATTTTCTTATATCCCAGTGAGTAGGTAAACCGTATTTCTGATGTTTCGTAACTTAATGTAAACCACTTCTTCAGAGTAAATAAAGAAAAGAATCAAATTAATATGATTCACTTGGTATTAGGATTGCAATTAATCAGCTTCATGTCGGCATGTGTGCATACTGTATGGACTGCAGCGATATCGCATTAAATCACAAACTTTATAAGCAAAGGTTGATAGTGTCTAACGGTGGGGACCAGGACACACATTTAATGCTATTCAGGACTCGCCAGCTGAACACACATACATTTCAGAGTCGATGTCCACTCTGGGACTCGAACCCACTGCCATTCGCTTCAAACTCTGTCGCGTTATTTACTTAGCTACTGAGTCCTGATAGTGACTTGTTTGTGCAGCGGGGTGAAGTTTAATTCACTTGGTATTAATTGCTCGTATCTCCCATTGTTGGTTAGCACCAAAATTGATCAGTTACTTGTTAGTATATGTGCATAAAACGTCACAAAACTATTTGTTCGATTATATATACATATGTACTACTTAAATTATCGAACATGTTTGATTCCTAGCTAACAAGTCTCAAATAGAACAAAACGTACGTCATGGATATCACTTTGATTACAATGATTGTGACTTAAGACAATATCGAAGCAATACGCACAGGATGCACATATGCCAATAAGAGACTGATCAACTGTAGTCCTAAACATCAATGAGAAGATTGAAACAAACATTACGAAATGAATTGAAACTTGACCATATTGCACAAGCAAGTGGATATCAGGACTCAAACCCTACAACTTCATATTACAAACACGTACGGTTTTCATACTTACATTCTGACACAAAAATTAATACGAATACACTTTGACCAAGAATAATTCGATTTTAACATTTTCACACAGAATTATAATTTTATTAGTTGAATTCAAGAGTCGCTTGAAGGTAGACCATAAAGAATTGACAATCCGTTCATCTTTTATTTTATTTTTGAGTATCTTTACATCTGAATGATCCTCCAATAATCATTTTATCAGCTTTAATTTTGAATCTTTGTTGGTGTTTTGTTTATGGCGAGACTATAATTTATGGATGAACAAATCAGGTATAAGATAACAGATCTTAGATGTTGGCGCAAAATTCACTCATTCTTTTGTCTAAATAGTATTTTGGTATGTTAATTCATGATGAAAACCCATAGATCGAATTCCTAACCCTAACCATCATCTGTAAATCAGAATCATAATTCCTAACACTGGTTTATAACCCCTATTTCGTCCTAGCAATTAGGTGGACACTCTCAAGGTCAGTTTAGCGTCACTCAAAGGACATCCGTAAATTATAGTTTCACCTTGTTCTTTTTTCGAGGTAAAATACTCTACCTGAATTCCCAACCTGAAATTTTTAAGCTTAAGAATATACTATTCCTTGTTGGCTTTTACTGAATTGATTTTACTGACTCCTTGTTTGATATTTGACAATGGGTTTTACATTCTAAACCGTCTGAGGTTCAACGATAGAAAAACTGGCATTTCGGTAAACGGTGTTAGCGTATTAAGTTATATCAATCGAAAAAACATTGATGTTATGTTTAATTTTATTCATTATTAACGTTACTGATAATATTTTAAGTAGTATACCTTATTTTGAAACAATTTCGTTTTAGCAATTGTTCAAAAGTGAACGTGTCACTTAATTTCGTGGATTAGTTTATCTCAGATATTCACACTATTGGATGCCGGCTCATTGGTCTAGTGTTTAAGCATTCGCGCGCGAGACCAATAGGTCCTGAGCTCGAATCTCGTGGTGGGAGTCGGGATCGTGGATGCGCATTGCTAAGGGGTCCATACTAGGACAAAACGGCCGTTCAATGCTTCCAGGTTTTCCATGATGGTCTAGCTTCAATTGACTCATGATCTCAACTGTTAAAATTACTATAATATCCACAGAAACCCCTTCTGAAATTGTTAAACTCTTTATACAAAACTTCTCATTAAAAATTCTGAAAATTCTTCTGAAAACATTTAGAGCAGTACATCAACATTTGATTAGTACTTTCTGACAGAATAAAATGTAACTTGAGGACATTTTATACAGCTTATGGTTTGTCTCATTTTATACCACGCCGTGTAGGTTCTAATTGTTTTAAGGAGTACCGGTTCTGATGAAGTTTTTTCTCTGAATTGAATGATTTGATCATGGAGCTTTCAACGTTCTTATGAACGACATCATCAGCACAAACTTCAGGTAGAAGTATTACCAGTTCCCTGTTGACTGAATGTAAACCTAACCAATACATATTAATTAGTAGGAAATCGATGTCACATAGAGATTATTGTTGACCACTCAAATCAATTAAAATCAAAACTCTATTTATTTAATAATAAGACATATTTGATACTTCTATTTTATTCAAGGTTAGTAAGTGTATTGAGCGTGCTTAGAAGTAGACAGAAATAGTAAAGAATCTTATCAGTTTCTTAGATCTCGTCAGACATTTCTCAACCTTTAGTATGGGATTGTGGAGATTGTTATGTTTTGATTGAGATCATGGATCGATCAATCTTAGATCACCGTTGAAAACATGGAAGCCGCAACCACTGGTATTAATCCGTGTAGCGAAATTTCGTGGGATGGTTGTAATTAGAAATTAACACCATTAAATGGCCTAGAGGTTAAGCATTAGAGCGTGAAACTTAAGATCTTGGCTTCGAGTCCTGTGTGCCAGATCGTGAGTGCGCACTGTTAAGGAGTCACATACTAGGACGAAACGGCCATCGAGGTTTTCAACTTCGATCTAACATTGACCGATTCATGATTTCAATCAAAAATTTATCAACCTTATCTAGTAACATTTAAGCTTTTCGGTTACTTAAGATTGCACTGTTTTAAGAGACTATGTTAAGAATGATGAACTTCTCAGTAGTTATAGGAACTTTTTTATATTCTTTTCACAATGATAATCTCTAGGGCGAGAGGGGATACAAAATAAACAAAATTTCCAATAATATGTAATTGAATCTTTTTTAGGTAGGTAATATCAAAGTGTTATAACTTGTGGCCTGTGTACCCTGCTAATGTATAATCTAATGATACTGCCAATTAAAGAGCAATGAATTGTCGATCGGACCAATGGCAAGAAGTCTAAAGTCTTTACCGGTCCTGCTTCCTACCTAGCCCCATCTGTTAAGTCCAGAACACCAATTTTAGCCTCTGCGTTATCAATCATTTATTTCAAATATACTGGGTTTATATGCAAACCAAATAGATCACAACGTACAATAAAATACAAAACAACATTTGCACAAGATCACAACCAAACGTGGCTGTCAATAAGGGAGATAGTAATTGATAGACTGAGCATAACTTAAGAATGGTAAATCGCTTAATACTAGTCTATGCGTCAAAGTAAAGCTTATAATAGGAGAAACATGAACATGCATAGTTTAGTTACTTAACAATTATACAATAAAAATATACGTATAGTATTGATACAGAAATCGATTCCAATAGTTACCATTCATCATGCTTATTGGGACATAACATAAAGGCAATCAGAGAATTCTGAGTTGTTTGTTTTCAATAGGATCCCTTCCTAGTAATGATCACATTCATCCTTGTAGGAATCAAGGTCACAAAACTTTCAAGTTTCATGACTTATATATCTTCTTTATATCACTGAGTTGGTCTCGAGTAATTCGTGTTCCCATTGTCATATTCCCTATCTATTATCTATTACGAATGACAATATATGTCACATTCTCGATATGATTGAAGTTCAATAGTTGCAGTCTTATCCTACTATTTTGGGGCTTTAGTACTGTATTGGATACAATCCATAGACTAGTTTTTTTTCTTGATAATCCCTTTAATCACAGTGCCAAGCAGGTATTTTTCACAATCATAATAAGTTCTAATCAACCTCATATATCCGTTATTGTTGAAAGTAGACCTGTATAGTCCACAGTCTGCAGAACACATTAAAAGTCTCCATCATCAGAGTTACTGACACTTATATTCAGTCTTCATCAATAAAACTTAACACTCACATTTGATAATAGAAGATAAGAAGAGCTGCAAATGACATTAAACAGACTGTGCTTTAAATTTTTTTTATTCTCACCCACCCACCCGCTAAAGAAAAGCATTTTACATATTTCCCTTTGTAGTGCTCAATCTTGTCGTCTAATAATGTCGATAATTCTAAAAAGGACTCTGTTGGTAATTATTAGTTTCAGTAGTTGAGCTCACAAGTCAATCGAAGCTAGTCCACCATGGAAAACCTAGAAGCACTGGATGGCCGTTTCGTCCTAGCATGAGACTTCTCAGCAGTGTGCATCTACGATCCTTCCCCCTGCGAGATTTGAACCCAGCACTTAGCAGTCTCACACGCTAGCGCTTAACCATTAGACCACTGGACCGAACGGCACCCGACGGTGTTAGTGTCTAACTTCAACTAATTAGTTTAATGTTAATATAAGAACTAATAAGTTGTGTGATGACGAACATTTTGTTGGCAATGAGCTTGACTAGTTGCCCTATTGTTACTTTAAATCCATTCTATTTCTAATAATAATTCCGTAGCTGGAAACGCTCAATAATACAGTAAGGATCTTCGATTAAGTGACATTTTGCCATTCATAATTCTCAGTTCCAGAGTATACGAAATCGCACTTTATGCCTATTTGCTGTGGAACTAGTCGTAATGCTGGTTGAAGAAATCCTAACTTTACAAAGTCATTTTGCTCAGTACTTCATCAAACGTCATTTATATTTTCTTAGGAAACAGATGGATATTGGACTTTAAGTTATGGAAACGTAAGCCTCAACCATGAATGAAATGCATTAGTTTATCACAATTGTTCATGGATGCCGGAAACCAACGGGATTAGAATTTGAATCCCTCATTTCTCTACTAATTTCAGGCACTTCTCCATCTAACGTCTTGCATTAAGTATACTCCTCAATTTGGAAGTGTCTGTATCCACGATACGGTCAACAACTTAGACGAAGATGCTCACACTTATAGAATATGTGACGTTTGTCAGTAGAACAGTAACGGTGTGGTATGAGCTACTGATATTGGCAGATATAAGTAGCATGTATCATCAATTGTAAGTGAAATGTCTGATAGCAGAATGCAAAGAAGATCGAAGAAAAGAGAACGAGAACAAAGAATGTTTGTTGTGGAAATGAAGAAACAGTCACGTCTGAGATGATTGATTGACATTTTACAAATGAGGTATTTACTGAATGGTCCTCAGATTTTACTAAGATGCTCTGTAAGTTCATGTTCAAATGCATTCGATTGTCAGTATAAGGGTTGTAGAGATTATTAAGATTTTGATTGAGATCATGAACCGATTGATATTAGACCACCGTTGGATACCTGGAAGCATTGGACGACCGTTTCGTCCTATTGTGGGACTCCTCAGTGGCAGTGCGCACCCACGATCCCGCTCGTGGTATTCGAACCCAAGGCCTTCGTTTTCGCGCGCGAACGCCTAACCTACTGGACCACTTAGCCGGTATCCAGTGGTATTAGTGTCTAACATCAACCAATCCACGATATTCAACTATCCCTGTTTGTGTTCTCGTTCACTATAACGGATCATGCAATGCATCTAAATTTCTATATCACTACTAACTTTCTATATAGTTTTAATGAAGTCAATCTACCGAATATTCACCAGAGATATATGTTGGTCATACATTATCTAAACAAATGTTTCCTATTGTAATATCTGTGATTGCAAAAGATACATTATTCATCTTTTGCATTCAATTTCATATGTTCTGTCATCAAACAGAATGAAGATAACGTACTGTTATCAGTAGTTGAAAGAAAGTTCTATGTACAATTGTATATATAAGTAAACAAGGATGGTGGCTAGCAGTAGAATCCAGGATGTGCGTTTCATCTCATTTGGGACTCGTCAACTGGATGTACCTACATCACAGTTATTGTTGACCCCGGGACTCGAACCCAGTGCCGTTTACTTCATTCAGTTGTTACTTAGTTACTGTTTGGGTGACTTAGAAAATTCTTCGAAAAATACATAAGAGCACTCTGAAAATGAACAAATCAATTACGTATATAATAACAGATCTTCGATTTTGCCCTTAAATTCACTCATCCATTTGGCTCAATAGAGTTTTAGCATTATAGCCGATGTCAGTTCATGATGAAAATCCTAAATGCAATCGCTAACCTTAATCACCAACTGCCAATCATAATCCTTATTGTTCATACCAGTTTATGAATCTCATTGACCCTAGTATGTAAGTAGACATTTTCAAGGTCACTTTCCCGTCACTTCGTCATTTAGTCCTAATCAGTAAACGAACATTCTCAAGGTCACGTCAACGTCACTCAAAGGTCATCTATAAATCATCATCATCATCGTCATCATCAATAAGTCATTTGTATTCATCTTGGTTTATAAGTAGTATCATTCAAGAAAAAGAAATAATATTCATATATCAAAGAAGAAGTCAATAGAATAATGAGTATTATTAAAATATATAGTAATATTACATCATATTACTCAATAGATTTTTCAATGTTGTTCTCCCCCCTTTTCTGTTAGCTTAGTTACTTGTTTGTTCTTTATTTTACTTTTCTTTTTTTTCTTTTTACAAAGTTTATCTCTTTTTATTTAAACAGATAAGTAATTCACCATGTCAATCGATTTCATAAATTGGCATTCTACACATTGGACATTGAAGATTCTAAAAGAGTTTAAATATACATATTGTTTTGTGAATCATATATAGATAAACAAATAACATTGAGAATAGTGAAATCTTTAATAACAAATTAGTAGTATATACATATATATATGTATGGTTTACCAATGAAGTATGCAAGGTTTATTACGAATTTAGTAACCATGATAGATCTGTCTGGTTACTAATCCAGGTAATTGGGAATTTTTTTTAAATAAAAGTTTTCTGTGACGACGGACCACCGGTGAACTCGAGGAAACTGTAAGAGGCTCAGAAGGAGCCGAAAATATTCCATCTAATCACCTTTTGGAAGAATATTCTAGAATTCCTACATGTAGTTCTCCGATTGGATAATGCTAATAGCCCCCTGTATGCGGATTGGTGGACTGTAATGATGATTTCGTTCTTACTAAAATATATGAATACCTGATAATTTTGTAGTATAATTTGACACTGTATAGAATAATATTCCTCTCATTAGACTTCTGTCTTCTTATTGCAATTTGGAAGGGTTTCGGTGTTCTAGTGTTCTGTTATACGCATTATATCAAGAAATAAACATTCAAGATATAACATTTTCCAATCTTGAGAATAAAGTATTTATCATCCGCGTAATCACAGATGTTTTAGTAATAATGCTCGCATCTGCAAGGATAACCAGGTAAGTAATAGTGAAGTTGAACGCAAGGGCATTAGGGAATGATGGTAAATCAGTTGATGAAGTTGTAAATCTTCATCGACTGAGATGGTTGGGCCATGTGCTACATATAACTGAACAACGATTACCACGACGCTCAATGCTCACTAGTGTTGGCGACAGTTAGGGGCGGATCAACTAAAACGCGACATCATTTCATAAAGTCAACAACTTCTAATCTGAGTCATGCTGGTAGATGTAGACTACTTGGCTGGGGTCCGCGTGACTATTGTAACCAATGATTAGAGACTCTTGGTGACATGGCTCAGAATCGATCACAATGGCGTAGGTGTATACACACTTTATCTTCCTTTAAACCGTGCGATTAAAATTACTTTATGCCTTTCATTCTACGAACTATTTCTTTCTTCCTGTACTATACCCTGATACACAATCTTTCTTTCATATATTACTATCGTTGAAGTAACTACTTCTATAAATTTGGTGTTCATCTTGTTGTGCTAATGAAGTATGGCAACTTGGACCAATACACATAAGTGCCTGGTACTAAGTTGTAGCTGACTAGCTTGACTGACTATACTTGAATAATTAATCTGATCATGACTTACTAATGCAATATGTATAGGATGTCAAATGATAAAAGTCGTAGGTTCTTTTACTTAAATAGTGAATCACTATTTAACTGTTCTTCTAGACTGTTCCTGTTGCAAGCATCAATCCATTGTCTCACATTTCATTGTTTATGCATTTACATACCAATTACGTTTCCTTTCCATTCTTTCCTTATCGATTTCCTACTGAAATACATTTTATGCTTATCCATGTTTATATACTACTTATATAGATATAAGTAACCCACACCACAGTATCACACATAAATAAAAAGTTAATTTGAAAAGAGAACAAAAACTAATTACCTTATCAATCCATGCATATAAACAAGTATAATGAAACATATGAAAGCATGGTAAACCCATAATACGATCTCCAATATGATAATTTTCCATACATATAGAACAACTTTGTAACTTCTTAATACTGGCATCATCAAATAATACACTAATTGGTAATTGATTTAATAAATAAATACGAAGTGTACCTAAGAAGTAAATAAACAAAAATGTATTCAATAAATAATGATTTATATCATAAGGGGTTTTTGTAGATATTATAGTAAGTTTAATAGTTGAGATCATTGTAAGACACCTCAACAGTGTGTATCTACGATCTTGACTAGTGAGATTCGAACACAAGACATATCGGTCTCGCGTACGAACGCTTAACCACAAGACTACTGAGCTGGATGGCATACAATGATGTAAATGTCTAACTTCAATTAATCCATGATATTAAATGACTCATTCACCATTGTCTTCAATGACTTACTATCTCACAACAGACAAGGTTGAACCCTACTGATCACTACTTCTCACTAGAACTCTAGGAAATACCTCTTGAAGCCAATAACTAGTGAGCATATGATGATTATAATCAGAGAAGGGTTTTTGTGGATATTATAGTCAATTTAATGGTTAAAATTATGAATCAATCAAAACTAGACCACCATAGAAAACCTAGAAACACTGGATAGTCGTTTCATCTTATTGTGAGACTCTTTAGCAATGAGCATTCATGATTCCACCTCGTGAGATTTGAATAGAGGACCTATCGGTTCTTAAGAAAACAAACAAGGAAGAAATTGATTATTATTGATGAAATACAATAAGTAAATATGCGATTAGATTTTAACTTTGTTTATTTGTTTAATTGATTGGTTAAATATGTGAATAAACATGGTTAAATTTGCATAGAAATGATTGATTGAATTATAATATTGTATTGTTTAAAGATTGTAGAGTTTCCTATCAGCATAATGAACTAATCAACTATGATATTATTTAATAATCAATGACCAGTATTGTGACTACGGACCACCTGTGAACTCGACGAAGTTGCCGGAGGATCAGAAGGAGCCGAAGATATTTCATCCAATCACTTTTCGGTAGAATATTCTAGAATTCCTACATGTAGCTTCCTGATTGGACAATGCTAATAGCCCCTGTATGCAGATTGTTGAACTGTAATGATGATTTCGTTCTTACTAAAAACTATAAATACCTGATAATTTTGTAGTATAATTTGACACTGTTTGGAATGGTATCCCTTTCATTAGTCTTCTGTCTTCTTATTGCGACTTGGAAGGGTTTTGGTATTCTAGTGCTCAGTTATACGCGGTATATCAACAAAACAGCCTTCAAGATATAATAAGTATCATAACATATAGGAGGTTCACTGAAGCTAAGATAACTAAATAATAACATCTCTGATAATAAAAGTAAGTGACATGGGTATGAATTTCACAGAAGGCAAATGTTTAATAGATCTTATTAGCAGGTGTCAAATTGCAAAAATGTGTATTTTCAAATATGACATCTTGTTGATGGTATTTACCTAGTTCAACACTTATTATAAACCCTGAATTGAAATAACGTATTTCGATAATTACTTGACTTCTATCTATTGAGTAACTATTAACATTTCCTAACATAAACAAATGTAAAGTGATAATTTGATAGCTTTGTTACTTATCTATTAGCCAATAAGATTCTGATTTCAACTCCACTTCATCTACATTTGATTTTTTATCTATTTGGTATTACTAACTCTCGGAGTTCTAGTGAGAAGCCGTGATCAGTGAAGCTAATCTGTGTCGGATAGAGATAGGTATCTACCTCAGTAAAATGGAAGGTGGTTGAGCAATTTCGTGGATAGGTTGATGTTAGACACTAAAACCATTGGATGCCTCCTCAGTGGTCCAGTGGACTGGAGGCCCTGTGTTCGAATCCCGGAAGGTGGATCGTGGATGCGCACTGCTGAGGAGTCCCACAATAGGACGAAACGCCCGTCCAGTGCTTCCAGGTTTCCAAAAGTGGTGGTCTAACATCAATCAGTTCATGATCGCAATCAAAAACTTAATAATCTCCACAACCCCTATACTAGAAATACTTTCTTTCTTTTTATAGGTTACAATATAGTATAGTTCTGACTGTTCAATACAAAAAAATTCAATCTTTTTAATTTTTGTCATGGAACAAAGATTACCTTTATTTACTCATTTATCTCACTGTAAATCTCGTTGCTTTAAACAGATTTATTTTTATCCGGTTCCATATCATCTTAGTAAGATTAGTAAGTCTGTCGCTATGATTCTTTAACTAACTATTGATATTTGAACACTAAGTCAATCATCTATAGTTGAAATCATGAGTCGATTGAAGCTAGATCACCATCAAAAACCTGGAAGTACCGGAAGGCCATCTCGTTCTAATATAAAACTCCTCATTAGTGTGCATCCATGATTTTGGTCATGAGATTCGAACACAAAACTTTTTCGGTCACATGCACGAATATTTAATCTCTAGATCGCTGAACCGGTATCCGACGGTATTAATGCCTAACTTCAACCAATCCACGAAGTTGCGCCATCGTCCGCTATTGTCATCAGTCAGTTACTATCCCACAACAGATCCGAATAAGCTCCACTAATCACGGCTTCTCAGTCATCTATATTTGGATAAGTTATTTAATGTTAACATATTTTGAAGTATATTCAACTGTCAAGTGAAAATGGATCAAGTCATAAAACAGAATTAGTTTGTGTATGAAAGTCTATAATAAACTTATCAATTCATAAATTTCAAGGATTCTACGGAGGAGTCATGATAATTTTCCGATAGATATTAATGTGATCTTTATTGTTTATCCATTAAATCTTGAAGCTCATGTACACCATTGGTTTGTAATCACAGTTTTCAAACTCTCCTAGGTGAACCTTCCGTATCCACCAACCTGGTTAAAGCGTCAGATATTCGCTTTACATCTAGTCAATTTCCTAAATGACACCTCTTCAGCGAGCGCGTTTCGAGGAGGAGAGCTGATTTTTCTCACCCTTAGCCGTACCATATATATAAATTCACTCGGTGTTGTTTTACTTTTATCTTCCCATTGTTACTTAGGACTGAAATTGATTAGTCTCATGTTGGTATATGTGCCATAAATCATAAGCTTTTTAAGCAAAGATGAATGGTGGCTAATAATGGAATCCAGTTCAACACGCGTTTCGTCCTATTTAGGACTCGTCGGCTAGTTGTACCTACACCTCAGAGTTTATGTTCCCTCTGCGACTCGAACCCAATACCGTTCACTTCAAGCGTTATCGCGTTATCCACTTAGCTACTAAGTCCTGATAGCCACCTGCTTGTCCTAAATAGGATGAAACGCGCGTCAAACTAGATCGCACTACTATTAACCACTATCCATCTTTGCATACATACATACATACATTTGGATTATTGATTTACACTTAAGGTCAATCGATTTCCATTTACCACAGTTTTCAATTTGAATGCTATAGAATTGGACAATATGAATTTGGATTTTAAAATTATGTAATATATTAATTTATATTCAAATTGTGTGACCTTCAGAAATTAAAACAAGCGATGTTGAGTTATTTGGTCTAGTGGTTAAGTGCACCCGCGCGAAACCAATAGGTTCTGGGTTCAAATCCTGCGAGGTGGTGTTGTAGATGTGCACTACTGAGGAGTCGCATACTAGAAAGAAACAGCTGTCTAGTGCTTCTAAGTATTCCATGGTGGTCTAGTTTCAGTTGACTCATGATCTCGACAATTGTGATTTACTACTGGTTTTTTGTTTTAATAGTTTCAAGTAAATTTTAAAGAAAAAAAGAGAAAGAACACATACGAACTTGTTTCTCATTATATGAAAATAAGCTTAAGTGTAGTTGATTAGACTTATATTAGTCTTTAGCTTAGTTTTATCTATGTAGGTCTATGTAATAAATGCCAATTAAAGTATCTAAGTGATGTAAAAAAAATTTTTATGTCAGATTCTTCTTAGTACAGATCGAATCCTATCGACCAAGTCTTAATGTAGCCACCAGTCTAGGTGATTCGACATTGAGTATTTTATGTTGAGATAAGATGGTGGTTGAAGGTAGTTAACATAAAACCTTGAACTCAAGTTTCGTGCTACTTGGCACTTGTCAGCAAGATTTACTAGTAATCTTGAGGGAACTGATGCCCCCCTGACGGATTCGACCCCGTGTCACTCAGCTTCATAGTCAGAGATGTTATCAATGGGTTATCCGGGCTCCGACGGACCTCTTGTAGGACTGAGATGTATTCACAAACGAACTCATAAAGTAATTTATAGTCGAAAAATGTAAATATAAACAAATATTTTGTTTTAATTATTTAACTTACTTAATGGATCAGTAGAATTTTCTAAATTAATAGAAGATTCAGTTGTAGCATCTAATAAAGTTGGTGGATTATTATTAACATTATTATCAACTTCTAAATCTGTTTGAGTAAATTCCGATTGTTGTGTTAATAAATCCACTTGTACACTGACATCAGGTGTCATATTCATAGTTTGGATTCCCTATAATAATAATAATAATAATAATGAAATGAAGTAAATTATCAGTAAGGTTTTTGTAATTTACCATTTTTTGTATAAAGACAACTAAAGAAAACCTGGAAAATCTGGTCGTCCTAGTATGGAACTCCTCAAAAGTGTACGTACACAATCCCGTCTAGCGAGATTCGAGCAGAAGACCTATCTGTCTCGCGCACTAGCGTTCAATCACTAGACCAATGAGCCGGCATTCAACCCATGAACGTCTAACTTCCCCTAATTCACGAGATTGAGAGACACATCTGTTAACGTCTTCAGTGAGTTACTATCTTTCAACAGACCCGATTGAATTCCACTGGTCATGGCTTCTCACTAGAACTCCAAGTAATACCTTTTGAAGTCAGTCTCTAGTGAGCATGTATTGATTCATATCAGAGGTGGGTTTTTGTGGATATTATAGTAATTTTAATGGTTGAGATCATAAGTCAATTGTAGCTCGATCACTATGGGAAATCTGAAATTACTGGACGGCCGTTTCGTCTAGTTGCAATTGACTCATGATCTCAACCATTGAAAATTGCTGAAAACTTGGAAGCATTAGAGATGCTTCAGTCTAACGTGAGACTCTTTAACAATGCATGTCCACAACCTCGCGAATATCATATAGAACTAAGCATCTTCATTTTCGAGCATGAACGCTCAATCTCTAGACCACTGAGTCGAAGTTCAATAACATATAAGCCTAATTCCAATCACTTTAAAATATTATCTTATCTTCTCAAATCAGACGCGGTTGAACTCTATTAGTTATGGCTACTCATTAGAACTTCCATAATCGCATCTTTAAGTTGGGTCGTAGATGTCTTTACTGAAGAGTTTCAAACTTGGAAGAAATGGCTATTCAGTTGTTCCAAGTTTTTAATAATTGTTTAACTTAGATCAGATCAAGATCTGATCTGACCTCTATAATAATAAATTTCACGAAATTGACTTATTCAATTGGAGCTATTGATTAGTGTAGATAAACTTGGATCTAAGAACATCAAAATATGTATCGAAGTGTTGAAAGCGATCAACCAAGGCGAACACTAGACTTCACTAAAATTTCATGTTGGTTAAAACTTAAAAACAACAAGATCTAACTGAAATATTCAGATGACAATCGATCCTTGCGTTGTTCAAACACGTGTCATTCAGTATTCTAATAAGAGGTATAATCACTATTGCAAGTTCATCATAATTCATTTTCTTAAATGTTGTCAGTGAATCAACTAATCAAGATTCTTTAGAAAATTCATGATACTCATCGTTTATTTAATTAAACACATAAACATTGGTACAAGGAGGTACTAAATAGATATGCGCCACATAAACCATTCGATTTGTATGAGGTATGGGATACTGCCCGGATGCTCAAACCAAAACAGGTGGTTTTCCTAGGGCGCCAGACTCGAAGCCTTCGACCTTAAGGTCTAATCTATAAGGCAATGGGGCAACATTGAGAGATGCAGTTCTATGGTAGTCGGTGAACATAGTTTCTGTCAATGTTAGCATAATCTCCAAACGATTCTAGAATCTTTTAAATACCCTTATTTTCTACACATAACCTGGTTAAGTAAGGAAAACTACCTTCTGTTGGATGTTTATGAATAGAAAACGTTTAGGAAATGAAAGTATTAAAGTATTAAAGTTATCAATAATCGAGTATTTTGATCTGCAAACTGACATTTTTTTTGGTTTGAGACATTTACATTGAATGACCACCACGTAATCAATCAAGTTATACTTTTATAATCCTTAGAGATGATCAAATTATCCTAATCAAGTTGTAATGTATCTACTTGTTTCAATGAATCGATATGATAAAATAAGAAGGTTAAAGTATTAACAACTGTTGATATTAAATTGTTATAGTCTGTAAATTGTACTGGGTTCGAGTCTAGAAGTGAACATCAACTGTGCGGTGCAGGTACATCCAGCTGATAAGTCCTAAACAGGAACAAACGTGCATCACACTAGATTTCACTACTAGCCACTATCCACTTTTGCTTAAAGAGCTTGTGACTTAAGGTTATATTGAGACAATTCACACAGGATGCATATATACCAACATGAGACTGATCAATTGTAGGTCTAAATAACAATCGGATGATACAAGTAAAACAACACCAAGTGAATTTAGATTACAATTTTGTTGCAGAACATTTTTCATAACTTTGATTTTCTTATTATTCATCTGTTGTTTATTTAATAACAAGATCAAATGACATTCAATTAGTTACTCACTGATTCATTCGTTTAGACTCAAGATTTACATTATAACACATGATGAAAATATAATTGAATGACAATCTTTTTTTAACAAAACACTCTTCATCAATGAGTATTCAAGATTATGCTCACAAGATTCGAACCCAGGACCTTCGATTTTGCGTGTGCACCGCTGAGGAGTCCCATATTTGGACGAAACGGTCATTCAGTGCTTCCAAGTGTTTCATGATAGTCTAACTTTAATTAACTTATGATTTCAACTATTACATAACTACAATCTCCACAAACCCCCTTTCTGATTATGATTATTATTGTTTATATAAGATGTATATAATCACATGATGTTGACAGGAAAATATTGTAAATGCAAACTATTTCTATGAAAGACTATCATAAAGGTTGACAAAATGTCTAACTTATTTATGAATTCTATTATAGACTGTTTAAACTGCATATATCGGTAGTATTCTCATGATTACTAAACTTCTATTCATTGTTACACATTGTATTTACAGAAAACACATATTAGGGACTAAATAGAACTAAACGACGAAACTCTAATTTGTGGACGAGCCAATCAGAATCATTCAAGAGATTTCACGGTTACGGCGCCAACTTCAGAGCTTAATGCTAACGTACAATCGGTTCACAGGGAATTTTGTACAAAACGTGATACAAAACATGATGAAAACCCCATATATAATTCCTAACTAAGGCAAATTATGACAACTATCGCAAACTGGATAATAAAAACACCAGTAACACTGGCTGCAGTCAGGTACTACAATATATACGGATGTATGGAGAGCGTACAGACTCCTACATAGGCTTGGTTATGTGTATCATGTCATTATCCACAAGTAGCGTTTTGTGAACTCGACAACCGGAGTACACATAAATAATATTGAAGCTATGTGGTCGAGAGTGAAAGAGTTTTTGAGACTTTATCATGACTCCAGAGGCCGACTATTCTGTAGCCGTATGGATGATCTTCTCCACTGCGTGCAGTACGATTTTAGAACCTCTGAAACCCTTTCTAACCTTGACAAGTTTTTTGAAGCACGTATAAGACGTGTATCCACTTTATTTCTTTGGTTTTGTCTAAGATATTTTTACTCTATACTGACTGTTTACTGATTGGCTAATATATCTCAATATCGCTTAAGATTTGTTCACAGGTCGTCGTCCATAAATTAGATTCTTGCCATCAAGATGTTAGTAAAGATTTTTACTTTCTAATTATTGAAATTCAGAATTGAAACAGATTACTCTCTTTGGCTAAATGTTCATTCTGAGACGATTATCTTCATATATGTGTTAATGAATTCGAAATGTAAATCATCATGGAACCTGTCTTACCTAGTACACATCATTTAGATGTTTACAATACATTGTAGTATTGTTGAAGGAAGTGAACATTAGGACCCGAATCCAGTTGTATTGACTAACATGTTACTTAATTCATATAGTAGTCTTGAACAATAACAGTAGGGAAAATTACTATTCAGCTTCGTCAATAATACTTCAGTCTTCGAGATGAAACGTTTTGGATTAGATTCTCAATGTTAACAATAAAAATAGGTGGGTACAGATACATTCTAATGCTGACTTATAAATAGGATTGAATAAGCTTCCTAGTTTCCTTTTATTAAATTGTCAATAAAGTTGAGTGATTCTGATGATGTTCTCTGAACTGGATAATTTGGTCGTGGAGCTTTCATCGTTCTTCTGAACGACATCATCGTCATCATCAGCACAAACTTCAGGAAGCAGTGAAGTGTTTGAATTTCTCTACATAGGGTTCATAGCTTGTCCTGTAGACCTTGATGTTGATTGGTTCTTCTTGATCTGAAACCATATATTGTTTACTTCTTTGTTCCGGTTGTATCTCCCATTGGTTTGATTCTTGGTCCTATATTTGTCCATAAATTTCCTGATTGGTTGATAAATTGGATCGATTTCAATGTGCTTGTTGACTGCTCATTGACCTAAGTGCTAAGCTTCTACAAATTTACTGATGTTTTTGGAATTCCTTCTATCCAAAATTTCTACATGTTTCCAGCCGAATGGGAAATTCAACCAAGATATAAAAAACAGTAAACAATGATAGGTTAAAGGTTAACAATAACCAGTCAACATCTAGGTCTACAGGATAAGCTGTGAACCATATATGGAGAAATTCGAACACTTCACTTCTACCTGAAGTCTGTGCTGATAATGTCGTTTAGAAAAACGATGAAAGCTCCACGACCAAACCATTCAGTTCAGAGAACAAAACTTCATCAAATATTTTTTTCCCATTGTGAATTTTATAAAAGAATTCATCCATAGTAATATCATGGTGTCTTTCATTTAGATTCTTTACAAGATAATAAATGGTTCATCAAACAACCTTATATTGTTTTAATTTTTTTCCTATATACCTCTGTAGTGATTGTATCGAAATTTGCTAGGAAATCAGTTAATAGCACTCAAATCACTGATTGAAGATGATTTTTTGACAGATAAATCAAGACAGTTACAGTGATTTGTGTGAGGGATGGGATACTGTCCGGGTGCTCGAACCGAAAAAGGTGGTTTTCTTAGAAAACCATACCCCGAACCTTCGACCTAAAGGCCTGGTCTACAAGGCAATGGAGCATAGTAATGAGATGAAGTCCCATGGTAGCCAATGGCCAACGATTGGGTCATATGCCATTTGTTTCCTCAGGGTACTGGAGCCCATGTACACCATTAGTTTGGAATTAAGGTTTTCCAACTCTCCTAGGTGTACTCTCCACCAACCCGGTGGAGTGAACAAATAGCATCTGAACCAATTGTTGGTCATCGGCTACCATGAGACTGTATCTCCTGACGTTGTTCCACTGCTCTATGGATTAGATCTCTAGGTGAAAGACTCGAAGAATGACTTCTTTAGGAAAACCACCTGCTTCGGTATGAGCGCCCGGACAGTATCTTATCTCTCACACAAATCAAATCACTGGTATGGTGCATATATATTGGGTGCCTCTTTCTATTAATGTTTATGTATTTGAATAAATATGAATAAATACAGTTTTGACCAGCGACATCTTAACAGATGTACGTTACATTCTGACTAATATTGACCGCTTATATAAGTCGTTATTAACGATTTAATCAAACTTTCAAGCTGATGATTAGAATCAAAGATAGATAGTGGCTAGCAATATAATCCAGGATGTGCGTTTCATACTATTTGGGACTAGTCAACTGGATATAATAATGGGAAGATACAAGTAAACAACACCAAGTGAATATAATGGTTATAAGTTTACTAACTGTGCAAATAATAAAATAAATTCTCTAATTTCATATTAATTTTAACTCACTGAAGACATTGATGGATGTGTCGTTCAATTTCGTGAATAAGTTGAAGTTAGAAATGAACACCATTGGATACCGGTTCAGTGATCTACAGGTTAAGCTTTGGCACGCGAAACTGAAGACTTTGGGTTTGTGTCTCTCAGGTGGGATCGTAGATGCGCACTGCTGAGGAGTCTCGTACTGGGACAAAACGGCCGTTCAGTGCTTCCCGAATTTTAATAATGCTCTAATGCTGACCGATTTATGATCTCAATCAAAACTCAATAATCTCCTCAACTCTATATACCGATGAATCCTTTATGATGGATGAAATGGTTAACAATTGTATTTTTACCTATAAAGCTATAAGTCTATCACTAGCGACGATAATTATTACGAATGGATTTAGTGTTACGGCGAAAAAATCGTTTATCTTTACCAATTCAATACTAATTGAATGATAAATCAGCACTGAAAAACATTCTTAATCAAAGGTTTGAATATATGAATCAACCAGGAAAGTTTCTTATTATTTAATTTATTATGGAAACAAATATGTAATCTAATGATGAATTATACTTTTTCGAATCAGGTCAGTTAAGTTGATTAACCCTCGGTTCAACTCATTCAAACTTATTGATATGTATGCATCTTATGTAAAATTGCCCAGATATTCCCTTAATTCACAAGCATTCTAAGCAAAGATGGATAGTAGCTAGTAGTGGAATGTAAGACACGCGTTTCATTCTATTTTGGACTCATCAGTTGGATGTACTTGCATCTCACATTTAATATATACATCCCAGGACTCAAACTCAGTACTGTTCGCTTCAAATGCTATCGCGTTATTCACTTAGCTATTGAGTCTTGATAACTACTTGCTTGTGCAATGAAGTGAAGTTTAAATTCACTTGGCATTGTTGTTTGCTTGTATATTTCCGTTGCTGTTTAGGACTATAATTGATCCGTCTCTTATCAACATATTTGCATACTGTGCGTATTACCACGATATTGGTTTAACTCACAAACATTCTAAGCAAAGATGGATAGTGGCTAGTAATGGAATGCAGGACGCGTGTTTCGTCGTATTTGTGACTCATCAGTCGAGTTTTATTCATAATAAGAACATTATCAGTATTATTATCATCAATATTACTATGGATTTCGTTTAGTTAATAGTTATTGCATGATGTAGTCTTCGTTTTTCCCCTGTATTAATATAGTAATCTTTATTTCATTGTAACAAGTAACAGGTAGCATGTCATTCAATTCAATAACATTGATAGATTAGTCTTAGTTTTAATCATTAAATTTTAAAGATTGATTTTTAAGTAAAGATAATTAGAAATGGGGATAACTACAAGATTCATTATATTCAATATTGTCAGAGTTGACTTTGATTTTCGAAATGGTAAAGAAGATCTACAGCTCAGATGGATAGTTTTGATGGAGTTTTATTCTCTGAGCTGGATGGTTTGGTTGTATAGTGCGACTATCCAGCTCAGAGAACAAAACTCTATTAAAATTAACTTCCGTTTTTTTTTAGATATTTAACTTATGAATATTTAACTAGAATGTGGGGTGCTTTACTTTGTCGTCATCTTGATCGGACGATGTTGTGGAAAGGGCTCTCCACTTTAGTGGCCCGAGATCTGACTCCAAGGAGATCGTATGAATGTTTGTTGTCACCTATCCTCGTATATAATCAACGACTTAAATTGCGTTAGTCAATAACGGAATTAAATAAGTCAAATAATGAGAATGGACTTTTGAATACATATATTTTGTATATGAAGCGAATGGAATAGAGAGAAGAGAAACGACGCGCAGTGGAGATGGCGGGTAAGCCAACTCCCATTTAAACTATGCCTTAATCAATAGTTATAGTTACACAAAAGTAAGTTACAGACATGTGATGAGTAATGGGATAAGAAGTGTACACACATACCTACGCATTCATATAAAAACAGTCAAGATTGATAAGCGAATAAATAACAAGGTCAGAGTGTGAATCAAGTAGAATGAATAGAATGGGCTGTCCAAAAGCTAGAATTAGGTATCTGGACTTAATATAATAACCGACAATACAAAATAATCATGGTAACCGTGATTAAGTTGAATTCATTCCGCTTTATAACATAATATACTTTATACATTAATTCCATTATAATCAACTATTATTTTCTTCTAATACTGTGACGTGTACTACTGTTATATCGACAGATATAAGCAATATATGTATCATCAATCGAAAATGAAATGTCTGATAGCAGAAGGTTTGAGAAGATGAAAGAAAAGAGAACGAGAACAGAGATTAGTTGGTATGGGAATGAAGGAACAATCAAATGAACGATAAACATTTTACAAATGTAGTATTTAATGTATGGTTCACAGATTCTACTAAGGTATTCTGTCATTTCGTGTTCGAATACATTCAATTGTCCCGCATTCATGGGTTTTCGTTCACTACAATACAACAATAAAGTCTTACAAGAAGTACGACACAACTGATGTACTTCCAATGTTTTATAGGCTAAAATAGGAATCATATCTAAACTAATACTGAGATATGCTATCAGTATGAGATTATGAAGATTATTAAATTTTTTTAATTGAGATAATCAAAAACCGTTTAATCTTAGACCACCATTAAAAACCTAAAAAGCACCGGACAGCCTTTTTGTCCTATTTATGGGACTGCTCAGTATTACACATCCACGATCTCATTCGTGGGATTCGAACCCAAGGCTATTGGTTTCTAAGGCATTTGTTGGATTCAACTCTAATTCAATGACACTTGTTAAATGAATTATAATTTTAATATGTATATATATATAACAACTTTTAATACTTTACTAACCGTTGATTGCATAATCATTGAAGGAATAATAATAGATCTAATTGAATGTGAACTATTATCAATTTGAATAGGTGGATTATGTACTGCAGGATAATTTTGTGAAAATTCAGTATAAAGTTTAATCTATAATAAAAATAAGAGAAAAAGAATATGTATAAAATTATAAAATTCATAAATAAGGAAAAGGAAAAAGAAGAAAAAGAAGGAGAAGTAAATAAGAAGAAAGGAAGAAAAGAAAAAGAAGGAGAAGAAAGGAAGAAAAAGAAGAAAAACGGGAAGAAAAAGAAAAGAAGAAAAGAAAAAGAAGAGAATAAAAAGAAGGAGGAGGAGGGAGGAAAAAGGGAAGAAAAGAAAAAGAAGAGAATAAAAAGAAGGAGGAGGAGGGAGGAAAAGGGAAGAAAAGGAAGAAAGGAAAATGGAAAAGAAAGGGAGGAAAGAAGAAAAAGAAAAAGAAATGAAGAAAAAGAAGAAAAAGGAGAAAAGAAAAAGAAAGCAAAGAAAAACAAAAAGAGACCAAGAAAAAGAAAACGAAAGAAATTAATAATTCATAAACTTACCGATGATCTACGTTGTTGCATAATTGAATTACTATTATCCATATTATTTGAGAATAGAATAATTTTGAAATAAACAATCACTATGTCTCAATCAAATAACCCTTCAATAATAATAATAATAATAATAGAAAAATGGATTAGAATCAATTGTACTAAAGGTAATGCAGTTACATTTCATTTATAATAGTGAATACATGAACATAACAACAACACACATGCACGCACGCACGTGCACACACGCACACACACATATATACGTTTGCAAACATATACAATAATTGATTTTGATTGCACACAATTACATCCAATGGTCTATTACATAATTGGAGTATTAAAATACAAGGATTAACAACAAATCCATTTTTTTTAGTTTTTTTTTAAAAAAACCAAAAAAAACCTACATGTCACCACAATATGATTGATTCATTTTGTTACTATGTATGAATAACAAAAAAAGATTGATTAGATTGTCATAATTTATATGATTGTTTTTGTTTTCTTCTAGAAATAGTATGGTAATATAAGTAGTATAAATGATGATATATAAGTAAGTAGTAAGTTGCAATGGTTTGTTTTTACTTCTATCTATTTAGATAGGATAACACATATAAACAAACAAACAGACAGACAAACAGTACAACTATGTATATTACATGATGATGAGTATTGTGAGGGTGTAATTATACCTAATCATTAAATATGTCAATATTGATTGAAATGATTAGGTAGTTTTGTAAATTACTTATTAGAGAAGTTACTAAGTTAGATGATAGTCATTGAAAGTTTGAAAGAAATGGATGATTGTTTTATAGGTTGAAATCATGAGTCAGTTGAAGCTAGACCACCATGGAAAACCTGGAAGCACTGGACGGCCGTTTCATCCTAGTATGGTTGAAGTTAGACATTAACACCGTTGGGTGCCGGCTCAGAGGTTTAATGGTTAAGTGCTCGCGCACGAAGCCAGTAGATCCTGGGTTCGAACCCCGCGGGGGGCGGGTTCGTGGATACGCACTGTCGAGGAGTCCAATACTAGGACGAAACGGCTGTCCAGTGCTTCCAGGTTTTCCATGGTGGTCAACTTCAACTGACTCATGATTTCAACCTGTGAAATTTAATAAAATCTCCACAAAACTCATTCTGATTGTTTTATATTCTAATATGAAACTCATCAGAAGTAGGTGTCCATGATCGTATAGATGAGATTTGAACCTAGGATCTTTGATTTCACGCGATGAATAGTTGGGCAGTCATTCATGGATATTAACACCGTTGGATGCTGTTCCATACAAGGAAGAGATAGCCATCATATGCATTCAGGTTTTCAATGGTGGTTTAGCTTACGTTGACTAATGAATTTCTGAAAATATTTAATTTAGTTTAAACATTCTTAATGTATAGTTTTTGTATATACTACTTATGTCGACAGAATTAAGTAATATATAACACCAATTAAAAGTGAAATGACTTCCAGTAGAAGATTGAGTACACCGTATTGAAGACAACAGGAATAAAGGAACAATTAACTTCGTAAGATACAATCGTTTACTACAGTAGTACATCAATATTTAGACAATTATAGGTGAATGTGATTGAAGACTATCAAACTACCACTTAACAATAGTCCAGTACTGTTTGATTCTAAAACACCTATTTGGATAATCTAGTTTCTGCTTAATTATCTTCTTCCTCTTCTTCTTCCTCTTCTTCTTCTTCTTCTTCTTCAAATATCTTTACATTCTTGTTAATTATTCTGTTTAACTATCATCTAATCATATGATGAGTGGGGTGAGCCCGCCCTCCCTCTCGAAATGCTCTCACATGGCCACGCGTATACAGCCTCTTCCAGGGAAGTCTTACTCAGTGCTTTCTCGTGGCCACAGTGTTGTTTACAAACTTGAGAGGACAAAAAGCGAACGTTCGGTGCTTTAACCGGATTCCAAATCAATGGTTCATATGAGCCCCAGTATCCTGAAGAAACAAATGGCATATGAGCCAATCGTTGGTTACCGGCTACCATGGGATTGCATCTCCTCACGATGCTCCACTGCCTTGGGGATCAGACCTTCAGGCCGAAGGCTTCGAGTGTGGCGCCCTAAGAAAACCACTTGCTTCGGTTTGGACACCCGGGAAGTATCCCAGCCTTCACACAAATCAAATGATTTATGTGGCGCATATCTTTCTGGTGTCTCTTTGTAACAATGTTTATGTGTTCAAATAAACGATCTTATCTGTTTATATTTGATCAATTAAATCTACATTGAAATGTTTAATAGTATCCAACTGACTTGAATGTCATCTTTCTGAAGAGAGATAGAGAGAGGGAGGGAGACAGAGAGAGAAACAATCCTCCAATGTTCTTAGGATTTCTTCGACGAAGAATTTTTTTCTTTGTTTTTTTTTAGTGTTTACTGTGTCAAGTTCATGTCCATATGTTTTTTGTTATTGCATACAACGACAAGATTTAATATTGTCTCAGTACAACTCCATCTTTGACTGTATGCATATGTAAACAAATGGGGGCATTCAATTGGTTCAGTATAGTACTAATCAATGTTTTAGATAAGATTGAACTCATTATTATTCAGATCGAAATAAACTGTAATGAAGTGGTTATATTTGTATGTATGTAAATTCAATTTAACTTCGTTTGTAGCTGTTCTAAAGTTACTGCCGGTCCCAAGCCCGGATAAAGGAATAGGGTTGGGCATGGTGGTAAGCGACCACATCTCATTGAAAACTAACTCGCTGAAAATAATGCTAACCAGTAAATTCAATTTTGTTTAGTTTGAAAATCATTGTATTAGTTCTTTTTTAGATTCACTTCTTGTACATGTAGATGATGGGTTCTTTTTTTTCAAGGAATTTATAAGACATTAAAGGCTATTTTTGGAAATAAAACATTGAAAACAATAATTATTTTAGCTTAATCAATCGTGGTCCCCAAATGTCGTGATACGGTTGAAGGTGGCGAGAGCCAGCCCTTCCTCACGAAATGCCATAGCTATTGCCGTCGAAGTCCTACTGACTGCTTTTTTGCCCAATGGGCGTTGTTTACAAAAAGGGAACTTCCGGCCCTTTAACCGGGTTAGTGGATATGGAAGATCCATCGAGGGGAGTTGAAATACCTTCATTTCAAACTAGTAGTGCACATGAGCTCCACGATCCTGAAAGAACAAATGGTGTATGAACCAATTATTGGTCACCAGCAACCATGAGATTGCATCTCCAGATGTTGCTCTACTGTCTTGTGGATCAGACCTATAGGTTGAAGACTTCAGGTGTGGCCCTCGTAGAAAACCACCTGCATCGGTTTGCGTGCTCCAACAGTATCATAGCCCTCACACAAATCGAATGATTAATGTAGCGCTTATCTATTTGGTGCTTCCTTGTACCAACGTTTATGTGTTAAAATAATAAGTAAATAACTAAATCACAGAAAGGGTTGTGAATATCCGGAATGTGATGCAGAGACCGAATAACCGTCAGCCTTTTGTATTAATGAAAAAATATAAAGTATGTAGTCTCTTGTATTTTTTGGGTGACGATCTTGTGTTCAGATGATTGAGGTTGAACTGGATTCACAAAAAAATTTCTGTTAACACTACTTTGGTGAAAATGTTAAACGACTACATGGTAAGTAAATTGCCTGATTTGTTAGAATCTTCGACCTTACTTTTGACGATGAAAATAGAACTGGCTAGTGCCTAGTAGTGAATTCCAGGGTGCGTGCTTGATCCTATTTGAGACCGATCGTTTGGTAGTACATGCACCCTGGTGTTAATGCTCAAACCAAGACTCGGGATCAGTAAATATCACTTCCATGCGTTATCCATTAAGCTACTGAGACCAGATGACCACTAGTTTGTGTGATGGAATAAATTTTCATTCATTTGAACTGAATACCACATAATAATCTCCACAACCCCTATACTGATAATTATCATGTGCTCACTAGTGACTAGCTTCGTGAGGTAATTCTCAGAGTTCTAGTGAGAAGCTGTGACCAGTGGAGCTAATCCGTATCGGATAGTGATGGGTATCTACCTCAGTACAATGGAAGATGGTCGCTCAATTTAGTGGATTTGTTGATGTTAGACACTAACACCATTAGATGCCGGCACAGTGGTCCAGGAGATTAAGCGTTCGCGCGCGAGACCGAAGGCCATGTGTTCAAATCTCTCAAGGGGATCACGGATACACACTGCCACTGAGGAGTCTCACAATAAGACGAAACAGTCATCCAATACTTCCAGGCATCTAACGGTGATCTAACATTAATTGGCTCATGATCTCGATCAGAAAAAAATTCCATTGCTACGCATCAATCAACTCTACTTAAAATAATTATGGCATAGTGACAATATCGAGTCATATTACTGCACATGATTAACATAAACTAAAAGCGATCAATCAATTGTAACATGTAACATCAATCAAAAGAAAGTGAATGAAGAATAGAAATGAAATAAAAGGAAACGATTAGGTCGATGAATTAGATTGATGTATTCTAAAGTTTACAAAATAAAGATTTTTATTGATTTCAGTACTTGTAGTTTGGCATTAAAGTAACTCAAATGTTAAGGTTATTTTTTTCTTCTTTTTTAGATTTTATAGTGTACTTGTTTCTATGTAAATATAAAATGTAAGTATTCAAACTTATATGAGGTAGTACTTACATTAGTTCGAGTTGTCATACGACATTAGCTCATAGATACAATTGTCAATTCAAATCCCATAATGGTAGAGGTAGAAAGAGTATAAGCAGTAACCGGGAAGATTAGGGTTTGAAGATGTTATTCAAGGAGTATAATCCAGTGAAACGAATTTGGAAAAAGAAAAAAAGAGACAAGGAGGACTCAGGAGATTAGAAGTTGGGAGAACGCAAAGAGTGGATGCACCTGCGCCATTACAAACGATTTTCAGCCATATCATTCGAGGTTTCTAACCATCGGTTTCCATTGTCTCGCGGATCCCAACCAGATAGTCTACACCTACCAACATGGCTCAGTTCACTTGTCAATGGGTTTGTACCATGTTTTGGTCTGCCCCCTAGCTTTCTTCTAATCTACTTCTACACCATTAAAACATCACACGTCGATGTAGTCGGTGGTTGGGTATACACAGCACGTGGATAAAGATTCAAACTCAATAATCAATCATTTAGTAGTTAAAAGAATTAATTTTTTTT